TCTCTCTTTATCTAGTTGTAATTAAGACCAATACTCATTATGGTTTCTTTTCTCTTTTAACTCAGGTTTTGTTAGTCTTATTAATTTCCTGATCTGTCTGCTACTTAAACACCACCCCCTCTTCTCCGCGCACCCCCTCTCTGGGCTGCATGGTGCAGTATCACAGGAAGGGCATCTGGGTGTGGTGTGTGACTCACCCCAAGAAGCCAGACCACGCTCCAGCTCTGCTTGACACAGAAGGCCTGGGTGATGTAGAGAACATGAAAAATAAATCTGCTTAATCCTACTTGTGTCAGATCAATAGCATTATTTGCACCATCCCTCCCCACTCATTCATTTATGCTTTGAATGCATCATATTTTAAAAAATTAATTTATTTTTAAATTAAGCTACTGTTAATTACAATGTGTCAGTTTCTGGTGAACAGCACAAGGTCCCAGTCATGCATATACATCCATGTATTCATTTTCATATTCTTTTCAGAATGGATCGTATTAATGTATTATTCTTATTTTATTTTATTTACTTGTTTGTGCTCAAGATTTGACCTCAGATCCAATTTGAAGCCAACCAAAGTGATTCTTATGTGAGAAAAGTAAACACAATGTAGGAGAATGACAGGTTAATCGAGGAACTTTTGCCTTTAAGCGCTGAGAGTGACCTGTAAGGCCAACTGACAGGATTTTCAGCCCATAAAATAATGGCTAATGACTTTGAATTATGTTATAATTATACAAGAATTCATACTCTACAAGAAAGTACTTTTTGTTTGAAAAACATCAATCATTTATTTTAAGAAAAAATTTCTGCTAGGTATTGGGTATTGAAATCAATATTTTTTACATTTTTTATTGAGTTACAATCATTTTACAATGTTGTGTCAATTTCCAGGGTACAGCACAACTTTTCATTTGTATATGAACATATGTATATTCATTGCCATACTTTTTTCACTGTGTTACCACAAGATCTTGTACATATTTCCCTCTGCTATACAGTTTAATCTTGTAAAGACTTATAGACATAGAATACAAACTGGTGTTTGACAAAAGGGTGGGAGTTGGGAAGATACAGACTGGGAGTTCAAAATTTGTAGATAGTGACAGGCTTATGCAGAATAGATAAGCAAGATTATACAGAAATCCATTTTTCATTTATTTTTTTAGGTGAGTATTTGCTAATCAGTAACATTACCCAAATTCTGCCATAAACATGGTCAGTGTACACAGATATTTTCTCTTAATCATGTAGGCTGCCTACAAAATGTGGCCACAATGAGGGATTTTACTTGTCCCCTTGACTTGGACAGAAGCCAGGGCCAGCTGATGAAGTTGCAGGGTGCAATACAGGGGTTTGATTCTAGCAACGAAGCAGGACACAAAGATTCAGGACAACAGCAGGTTGCAACTGGGAAGACTTATGTACATTTATAATTAACATGAAATATTTCAGAATTAACTGCAGGGTGTGTGTTTATATGCTGACTCTAATTTATACCCATAGGGTAGTTATTAGAATGTGAATGGATAAAATCTAGAAAAAAAATCCTCAGTTAAAGTGATTTTGTACACGAAGCATTATGTTTTGAATTAACAACATAGAGTTTGTTAACTGGCATGAGAGTCTTGGGCAGCAATGAAGTCAGCAGGGCTTAAAGCATGTGATGGGTTATGAGAATTGGACAGGTTCCAATGCCCTAACCTGAATAAGATATAAGGTTGGGCACCCCGGGGCTCCTGCCAGTTGGGCAGCTCCCAGGTTTGCTCCTGCCCTGCTCCTCCCGGCTCCAGAGAGGACACACACCCTGTAGGATCCTCAGTCCCAGAGGACATGCCAGCTGCCCACGGCATTCACCACGGACTGGGCCGCTGCTTCACAGAGAAGGACTCCCCCCAGCGTGCAGACTGGCTGTTTGTGTTCCTGCCCGTGGTTCACTCAGCATAGACACACTAGCAGAATTAACCTAAGCCTGAGGAGGCCAAGGACACCACCTGACACTGTCTTGTCAGTATTGCTTCCTTCAGATCTTCCCCTATATTCTTGAAGAGAGTGTCTTTTAATTTTCTTTGCATTTGTAGTGAGTTCCTGCAACCACCTGCAACACTGAAGACTTTCCTTCATAAACACATCTGTGAGGACTACGTACCGCCGAGCTCACAGGCGAGGGAGCACTCATGAGGAGGACTGCACACACACATCTGAGGGAAAGGGAGAAGGAACACAGAACTGTCTAGAGCAGCTCGCTTGTTCCTGCACCAAAGCATGTGCAAAAGAATGGTCCTAATGCAGCCTTCCTGCAGAATGGATGAGAAACTACGGGCACAGGCCTTGGATTCCTCCAGTAATTTAAAAATTGTGTATTAACTTTCAGGTATGGGAGAGGCCTTTCACTTGGGCCCTTATTTTCAAATATATATAAGTTTATTCCACATGTGACAACTTGTAAGTGAACATCAGAGTTGGTGAAGACTCCTCTTACACGGCTTTGATTGTCCTTTCCCTCACTCCCACTCCCTTCCTTTCTCCAAACCATGATCACTTCCTGTCACCAACTCCTGTTTCCGGTTTCCTATTTGTATACTTGCCATGTACCTTGGGACACTCGATGAGGCAGCGCTCATCATGCCCCCTTATCCCCCTTACCAGGCCACCCAGACCTTCGGTGAGCTCAGGGCCTTCCTCTGCTGATACCCAAGGGTCTTTGGGGCTGGACCAGTGGTGGGACTTATTTCAGTGGCTTTGGTCAGGGAAATGGCAACTCAGCATCAGCTCACAGCCCTCAGGAAAGCAGATCTACGCCTGTAGATTCCACGGTCTGTCAGCCTGTGGGCATCACGTTCAGTGAGAAATCAATCCTCATGTCAAAAGCATAGTTTTATCTTAAGAGACGTTTCTTGACCAGATTGAGGAATGAAGGTGGACATGAAAGATTTGCAAGTGATGGGCTTTTTCTTCACTCTGTTAATTCGTGTCCTTGTGGTGTGAGTCACAGATGGTGGTGGCTTCCTTGCTGGGTAAGTTTCATGGGAGGGAAACGTGAGGAACCCAGAGAACACAGAGTGGACTGTCCCTCAGAGTGGAGGGCGGCGGCGGGTGCAGGTGGGCGTGTGTGTACTTTCTGTCCTTGAGCACTAGTTTCTAAAATTGTTCCCCTTAGTTTGAGACACCTGGGCAGCAGTTAACACACTAAGGAAATGGGAATTGGGGGCCCTGCTGGGTGGCAGCTTGTGTGTTTCTTTACCTGTATTGATGGAAACCCCAGTGTTTATGTGGTGAGCTTTGTGATGGGAGCTAAGTACACAGTGTGGAAGATCATCCCGGAGACGAGATCCTGTGACAGCAGGGGAGGCAACTATAAATAGGTCATTTCATGTTCAAAGTTACATAACAAGTCATATATTGTGAGGGCAACTGGGGACAATAGGCAGCACGGAGGGGGACGCCTCATCCTGGCTCAGGACATCAGCAAACAGGAGGCTCGAGGGAGGAACAGATACTAACACATAATGGGTAGTGAATGAGGAAGCCAAGGTGAGTAGAAAAGCTTGTGTTCTGTGTGCCAACTCCCAGAGTCCTATTTATGTGCAGTTGTGGAATTACAAGCACTTGATTCTAACCACAGGGGTCTTAAGCCCTAGACAACTAGGAAGAATTCCTAAAACTTTCAGTTGACTTGCAGAGTAATTTCCTTTTGAAATCATCATCTGTATGAATGTTGATTTGGTGTTTAGGGACCACTTTAGCCAACATCCCAGGAGACTTCAGCTCATGGGTATCAGGTTCTCTTGTAGTTTCTGAAGATTCATGATAATATGTGCATATATGTTTTTTTTTTAGAAAGTCAGTACTACAACTACACACATTTTCTGCATCTTTATTTTTCACTTACAATAGATTCACCTTGGAGATTTTCCCATGTTAGTGCAAATAAAGCTCCCCTTTCATTTCAATCAGTGCAGAGTGGTCCTTTGTAGGCGTGTCTGAGGACTGACATCCCCAGTATGTGACAGGCCTTGAAAATTGTTTCTAGTCTTGTGAAATTTCAACAGTCTTGCAACAAACATACTGCTACATATGCCATTTTCAGTTTGGGTCAAAAGCTCTGTAAAATGAATTCCTAAATGTTGTCTTGCTGGATCAAAAGTATTTGCATTTAAAATCTTGATGTACATTGGCACCTTTGGCATTCTTCCTGATAGACATGAGACAATGCTGGATTCCTGGAACCTGTGCCCACCAGTGTCCTGGCCAATCAGGACTTTCTGGCCCATCTGAGAGGTGACACAGTTACTCCCTAATTTTACTTTGAATATCTTTTAGAGTCAGTGAATTTTTTAACATTTTTTATTGAGTTATAATCATTTTACATTTTGTGTCAAATCCCAGTGTAGAGCACAATTTTTCAGTTATACATGAACATACGTATATTCAAGGTCACATTAGTTTTTGCCTTGAGCTACCCCAAGATCGTGTACCTATTTCCCTAGATTTGCTGTATAATCTTGTTCACTTCTTTTGCATATAGAGTCAGTGAAGTTAAACACTTTTATTCTCTTTGCGTATTTTTGTCCATTAAAAATGTGGTTGTTGCACTTTGCTCACTGGTGCTGTGTCCCGATGGCGAATGTACGTCCTCTTACTGATTGTTGTTTTGCTTTTCTTAAAGCTTTTCTATGATTCATCATTGTCTTCCAGCTTCTTTTCCATTTCTTCAAATTAACTAACTCAATCCATTTTTTTTGTTCTTTTTGATATCAGGCCCTGGTAGTCACTTTGGTAATTCTTTGGTAATCATTTTTTATGATTAAACTTTCCTTGAACAAAACTACCATATTTTTTTATTGAGCTACACTGTTACTCTATTCAAACATAAGAAATCTTTCAAAATATACTTAAGAGGAGTTTTCAGACCTTCTAAAAGTCTCCCTGAGCAATTTCAGCCACCAACGAAATTCTGAATGAGACCCAGGTTGCAATGCAATGAATAAGATTCTCACTGCATCAATGGCCTGTGCTATCATGGAGGGGTAATTGTTTCTGGTCCTTTCAATGAGTTCTTTTAGTTTATTTATTTCACTAGTTAACGCCTCAAGCTTCTTTTCAAATCCTTCTGTAAATAGTTCATCTTGCATCTGTGAAAACGAGAGAATCCCCTTTTGAAAACACCCAGGGGTCAGCAGTGTGTGTCTAACAGCTGCAGCAGCAAATCACGGGTCTGTTTCTCTGTCCCCGAGATGCTTTCTGATGTTTGGCCAATATTTGCAAATGTTTGGACCTGGGCAGGGTTTACAGCTTCCCACGGTCCCTCAGAACAGTCTAACTGGGTGGGGAGGCGTGGGCCCAGGTCAGGCCTGAGAACTGTCTCAGTGATGTGCTCCAGGCCTAAGAATGCACTTTGGGAGGGAATGTAGGTGAATTGCAGTTACTTCCTATTGCCCTGGGGTAACACGACCACACATATTTCACAGATAATAGCAACTGCTGACTCTTTAGAACACTGGACACCAGACTCCTGTTTCAGACAAAAAATGCATTGACTCGAGATGCGTAACATGAGTCAGGTGGACCTGGAAACAAAGGCTGCAAGTTGTAGAGATTTCAGCCTCCAGTTCTTCCTACAAGGCACTATCTGGTACTTTCAGGGGCAGGTCTATTTCATGTCTCTGATGGTTGTACTGAAA